TCTTCTCTGCTCGAGTCTTGTCAATGAACTTGTGTCAATAATCTTATAAATTTTTATAGAAAGAAAAGTAAGATTCTGAAAAATGAACGATTTTTTGTCACCAAGATATTATCCAAAAATTATTATTTTCCTTCTATCAGATTTTCTTATCACATTTATATAATTAATTTCAACTTTTCTTCTTTTGCAAAATTAATTTTTAAACAATTTTTTGAAAGAATTAAAAAAAATATAATATATGTATATCTATAGTTGTCAAAAGAAATAGTTGTTCTAGTCTGTACCTTTGCATTTAAATCTAAATGTGACCATTCGCTTCTCAGTTCAATACAATATGCGATCTTTAAATGAGATAATACTCTCAAGATCAGAAGCCCATGTTTAAATGCGATGTATAAATTCGGACTTTTTGCAAGATCTCTATCCGTTCCGTTGTTCCATGTATGCTTATCAATACATAAAGTGCAAAATGCGACTTCTGTATTGGTAAGATAACAACGGCAGTCGACGTAAGAATTGAAAATCGACTGTACTCAGCTGCAAGAGATTATCTTACATGGAGACTAAAACTAATTTCCTGTCACGGTATCATGACTCGTGTCGTCAACTTGTGGTGTGACCGTTATGCAAACTTCTCTTAGAGTTATATAAGAACGTGCGTTGCAATTTTTTTTCAAACTTGCTGTATAAGCTATGATCGATAGAGCCAAACCTGCGGCGTTTTAATTTGGTTGAGCAGGTAGACGTGTCATAATCATCTACGCAAATGATTACGCAAAAGTGGCAAGTAAAACTGCTTTTTGCACGTGATATTTGCCTTAAGATCGTGTGATATGATTATCGAACGCTCGTTTTATTTTATTCGTGCATAATATAATTATTAATTAACGTTAAATATTTTACTTTGCTACTTTGATCACTACTTTAGAAAGCGTAATTTAATCTTAATTATAATTAGTTAGAGTGTTAACTAATCACTTTTTGTATGGATGAGGTTGTCAATTATTATGCGATAGGTGATACTCGAAGAATAAAGAAACATTGAAATTGATCACGGTAATCAAAGACGCACCGCAATCTCCGAGTTCCTACGCCAAGGTTGCCCGCAATAACCAGCGTTGCTTGTTCGCGATAATCTATTTGCTCTCGACTGTCAGTCGATCGGAATTTATTTCATAAGCGGAAGAACGGTTCCTGATTACGATACCGTACCGTTATGCACACAACTTAATCGCGGTTGGCATGTGTGGTTCTGAAGCGAAAAGTATTTGTTTTTAGACTTTTTACGAGATTACGGGCTTAAGTATTCCAGTCAATGATAAGAAGAAAGATACAAAATTTTATAGAATATATACGAAATTGAGATAGAATTGATATACGAAAGAAGATAAAGTTTCGTGTATTATTAGCAATAATAAAGTAATATGAAATAGGTGTTAGAGAGAGTGATAATATAACGTCAACAATCGCAAGTTTCTCTCAGCGAGCTCATCGAGACGGGCACGCAAAAGCTCGACGAATTAACCGATAGAGTGGGCGGCCAGCGTAATGATCGCCGGCACATAAATTTAGCAAGGAGACGAGGCGAGAGACGAAATGCCGGGCGAATAATCCAAACGTGATGAATGCTGGTCAGCTTTACTTTGGAACGGCTCCACGCGCGAAAGCTCGGCGCTCTCTCTCGAGGACTCTCGCGAGAGTCGACACGCAACGTCAAGCTCGGGGACGAAATTCTCTAACGCTTTTCGACGTTTGACATATTCGCCCACACGCACCTGCCGACTCTCCCTCAAATCTCTAAACCGCGCGTCTCGTTTTCGCTTCGTTGCACGGCGTCCGTCCCCTCCATTTTTCACGATTCTTTGCCTCTCCGTGAGGCACTTTGATAAATGCATTTTTGCCTACGCTTGTACTTGTATTTGCAATTTGAAATATTTTCATTTCAATAATCGACAAATGATTATTGAACCATTTGATATTGGTTTAACGAAATGTGTTGTTTTAGCATCTTGATTAATCGCATTTTCATGTTGAACTATTACGATATATCTTTATTCATTATCTTTACCGTCGATGTGACACAATTGCGTTCGATGATTCCAAGATAAGAGATTTCAATTGCGTTAAACGGCACTAAATTTTTCTAACACGTAGAGAGATATAGGCATAGATATATTTATCTTCTTCGATATATGTATGTGCGCTGGGCGTTTCGCTAATAAAATTATAACTTCGCACACAGCGTAAGACCCCCCGCACAAAGGGGCTTTGAACGCCATGAACCGATCGTCTGTGTGCAAATGCACCTTTAAGTATTTATAGCACGTGACGTGTGTATCTGACCGCGACGGAAGGATTTATCGCGCTGCCGAAAGCTGCGTCAACTATTCCGCGAGATAAACAGACTCGTTGTTCCCACCTGATATTTTCTAGTGATGATAAAGAGGGATGAGGGATTTCCTGGCGGAGTTATTAGCTCGTTGAAAAATTTTAACGTTACTCTCGAGAAATCGCCACGCGCTGCTTTCACTTACGCGCTACATATTGAGCATGGCAAAACTGCGGAATGCCAGGGGATGAATAATTCCTGTGATTTTCCGCGAATTCATTGTGATGCTAAGAGTAGGTGTTATACATGCCAGTGGACCGACATTTACCGTATTCTTTCATTTTCACGATGCAAGACGAAGCGTGCGTTTCTCTATCACAGCATTCATATCAATCAAAGTTATAGATATCATTTTCTGTCATGAACATAATTCTCGTGGTCGTTAATTTTATCGTTGGAAAAGTAATTCTCGTGCTCAAACTTATTTGTCTTT